CCCCAAAACCCCAAAACCCCAAAACCCCAAAACCCCAAAACCCCAAAACCCCAAGAGATTGTCATATACTCATAATATTCACTGTAAATATTCAGAGGTTTTATACACAATTCCTCAGAATATACAGCATTAAGATTTGCCCATAGACCCATACAGAATTAATATTCAGAACTAGAACTCGTACTCATCAAAGTTAAACATTGGGACAATGTTGGCATCATGGGCGGGTCCTCTACTTCTTGAAAATTTTCACCATTGTATGTACCTCTTTGCTCTAACATTTTCTGGCTTGAGCTCTTTCAATCTTTTTATGACTGACTCAAGATTTTCCATTAATTGATCTCTTGTAAACCTCCTCTTTCCAATTCAAGCATGAATTATTGCTTGGTGGTCATTTCTAACCTCAATTTTACCGGCTTTGAGAACTTTAACGGTGCTCACAAGTTCTTCAGGGTCTACTAAAGTTCCAGATTTTAGGTTTGGCATTAAACCAAGAGGACCAATAGTCCTTCCAAGTGGCTTAAGGAACTTTATAGCATCCTTTGTGGCCAAGAGGGTTTCAAACTCAATATTATCAGCTGTAATTTGGCTGATTTCTTCCAAAGTAGGAAACATATCTGCTCCTGATTCCTTAGCTAATTCAGAATGTTGATCAGTTGTGAAGATGGCTATTTTTCTGTCTCTTCCACTTCCAGCTGGTAAAACAATGGTTCCCCTGACTTGTTGCTGACTCTTGGTAGGATCAATGCCCAATTTGATGATGATATCAATACTTTCATCAATGTGGGTTTTCATCTCAGTTTCAATCTTTTCAAGCACCTCTTCAGCAGGTGGGTGTTCTTCTTCTTCTGAATTTGTATTCGGTCCTTTCACAGTCTCTCCTCTCATTCTCATGAGTTTTTCTTTTCTTTGTTGTTTAAGAGCAATTTTTAATCTCTGTCTTTTATTAAGCATGGCCATTGGAGTGGAGTGCAACCTGTACACATCTAAATTTCCTTTAACCGAGAGAGTGTTATTCACCATCAGAGATCTAACTGAAGGAGTGGCAACTCCACAAACAGGTGTGACTGTCCTCTTCATTGCGACTAAATAGGTCGGATTGTATCTGGAGAGGCCTCTCCATCCATATTTGTAACCATTTCCTAAAATCATGGTCAAATTTATATTATAAAATAATTTTTTGAGGGGTTTTGGGGTTTTGGGGTTTTGGGGTTTTGGGG